GACACGCCGATTTTTGAAAACTTTTGCAAAAATGGATGTCGGACCCGATAAAGGTTGCATACGTATCCCACCGGATTTGTGAGAATCAGACTCGCGTAGTTCAAACAAGACTTTAGAAAAAAATTGACCAATTTTGAAAATTTTAATTATAATTTTTAAAAAAAAAAAAACTTACACCAAACCACTTTGAAAATGTTAATAAAAATTGGGTATATGTACCGAACCGGGAGGAAGGTATTATTATTATTATTATTATTATTATTATTATTATTATTATTATTATTATTATTATTTTTAACTCCGCTCTAATTTTGCTAAAGCCGGTCAATAATGAAAATAAGCCTTACAAATGATGTAGCAAGTAGCACATAAGTGAACATGACGGTCTCAAAAAGGATATCTGTCCTATACGAGCCCGACCCCTGTGTCGAGCTTCGCTAAGTCAAATGATGCAACAAAACGATCCTACTAGGGATAACCAGGCATGTGGCTTGTTCTTCTAGGTTTTTAAATCTTATAGGAGAAGGTATCTAGACCTGGCTTACTCAGGCGGATAACCCAAGCCGAGGAGCGTCAGCGTACCGGCCGTAGAACGGTTCCGTCTTTACTGGTGATTCTCCCCGTCTAAACATGTGTGATTAAATCCTTCACCAGGAGCAGGTCTGCACTGACTTTATCTCAGACAGAAAATTTTGTGAGTTGGTCAGCACACACAACACTATTACTTATCAGAAGACTCAGATGGGGTGCGAGAGAAGACAATTTATATATACATTTCAAACAATATCAAAGCAGTAAATGAGCGAAAATTAGCACATTAGGCTCACATACACAGTAATATCCAAAAATAATAAAAGCCAAAAATTAATCAATGTACAAGCTCGAATTCTTATAGTCCCCAGCGGAGTCGCCAGAGCTGTCACACCTCCTTTTTACCCCCAAAAAGATATGTATGTTATGGATTATTATGGGTTAAAAGAATTTTTTCAATTAAAGTGACAAACTTGAATAGGGATTATTTTATTTACAGAGTGGACACTTGAAATTGATTTTTTGGTGTTCTAAGTCACCTTTTGTTTGAATCCCGAATCAAAGGAAGATTTGACTCTATTATTATTGGTCTGCAAAAATAAAGTCCGAGTAAGGAATTTTGATGGCTGAGGAGAAGGTGTAAGGTATTTCCCGAGTCCCGTGGTTCTAGCACGGTCGCTTTATTGACTACAACTTGGCTTGAATTAATTTTAGACAAACTGTGATTTATTGGCTTTCATGTTTTATCTATCTGCTTTTATTGCTTAATTATTCGTAATTATGGAATTATCCTGAAACGAGTCACGCGTACGTGTACTTATTTTGTTTGGCGCGTCAAGAATCATGTCACGCGTACGTGTACACAATTAATAACACTTTATTAACATTAGGATTGTTTCGCCCAAAGTTGCGTGAACGCATACCTTGGTTTCAATTTTAAAAATCGTAATTATGTCACGCGAACGTGTACATAATCACGATAATTAATTTATTATAGCGCGCCTAAAGCATACTAGCGACATTTATGAGTTATTTTTCTAAACTAGTTTGAGATTATTGTGGTGCATGAGAATTATGAAATTGTTGTAGAGCATCAAGTGGATTAATTATGAAAAAAAAAAAAATTAGGCTAGCTTATAGATTATCATGAAAATGGGCTAACTCTAAAAAATGGATCAACATTTTGTCATTAAGGAAATGGGCCTAGCCAAATTTCAGCATATTCGGTCCAAAACTTCTGTTTAATTAGCCCGCCAATCAGACACTTGATAGCCCAATATAATTTGACAAATCAAATTCAATTTCTAGAAAAGCACAACTGCGGTAACTAATGGTGTCAGGTAAAAGAAGCTAAAATCATATTAATTTTCATTTCTAATCATATGGAATTGTTCAAGCATTTAAGAACAGATTATGGAACCAAATTTCTAGCATAAATTTCAAAACATGATAAGAAAAGATCACTCTATCTAAACTGAAATTGATCGCACTTATCCAAATAAACCTATTCAAATTAAGAAAAAAAAAATATTTAAACACAAAATCTACTTCAATGACCCACCGAGAAAATCCAACTAACCCATTAAGTACTCAACATCAATAATCCCTAACATAAGGAAAATAGCAAATCAAATTAACATAGAAGCAAACTTCCAAGTAGTTCATGGATAGAAATAATTCGAATGTTCTGTTTCAAATCTCAACAAATACTCAAATATATTTAAATGACTATGTAAAGAGCATGGAAGAATCGGACCTTTATATAGATGAATTTAAATTAAAACTTATAGTAATTTGAAGATTATAAAACTTTCGACCGAAAAATTTGCCAACGACCATGGAGGGAACCTCGCCGGCAACCTCGAAACTCGGCTGAAACCTTTTCGAGAAGTGGCGTTTAAGGCTGTGATTTTTAGCTGACTATTGGTCTGTTTTTGGGCTGGAAGTTGTCATGACTTTTTGTGGTGTGAAGATAATAATGGGTTGAAGAGAAAGAAAATAAAGGTGCGACTGGTTCTCCTTGGGAGTTTCTGCTGCCTTTCTTTGCTACTGATGGGTTCTTTACCAATCTCCCCTCTTTAGTGAATTTTCAATGAGTTTTTATAGTCAAAAATAAGAGTGAAGGTCTGGAGAATATTGTGCAGACGATGGAAGGGGATAGTGGGATATGAGTGGGGGACATGAGTGGTGAAAGTGGGAGTGTGAGTGGGGAAGTGGGAAGTTAGGTATTGGGAAGATGAGTGGGAAAAAATTCAAGCACGGTCAAAAATTAGGTTCTCACACAACTCCCTAAACATTAAAGAACGAATCAGTTGTGCTTGGATAGCAACTCGAGGTAAATCAAAGAAATAGCCAAAACAGCTTTCCCTAAACATCCGAAACTGGACATTAGTCAACTTTGACTGTAAAACTGATACGATGTCCACGTTAGTGTATGATGTCCAATGAGTAACAGGACAAGGCTCACCAACTGAAATATAAAGCTTCCAAGGCTACAAATAAATGACACAATTTAACAACAAACAAATACAAACTAAATCCAATTTTAAAAGAAGATTCAACAATATAAAAAAAATATAACTAGAATTGTATGTACCTTACAAAATTTGTAAGGAATTTTAACTTTTTCTGCCTTCTAATCCTTACTTTTTTTTTGTTTGACACCAAAAGTCACTTCGTCCTCCACGACACGTTTTCTCTTATCTTCAATATCATCCACTCTAACCCTTTTGCTCTTCTTTTTCTCAGATTGTCCAATAATATCCTTTCGAGATTCTAATACTTTAACACTGTCGGAATAATTTGTCTTCCCATATTTTGTTCATCAATCGATTTCTCAACTAAAACCGTAGTTGAATGAGGAGATAAACTCATCGACCTAGTTTTTCTTCTCATGTTGCTCGATTTCTCAATTGAAAGTGGCTTTGAATAAGGTGATGAATCATCGAACGAGTTTGTCTTGTCATATTGCTCTGTTTCACAATTGAAACTAGGTTCAATGAGAAAATTTTAAAAAACAATTATACGAACAAATAGTTACAGAATTTTATGAAGAAATTTATACAAAACTCAATCAAAACTAACAAAATAATTTATAATAGATACCTACAATGAACTCTACCTAAACAATTCAGTTGCAAAAGCCTAAAAAAAAAGCAACATCGCTTCTCCAAAAACACATGCAATCCGAAAAATATACAAAATAAGAGATTTTCTACTCCAAATTACCTGGAATCAGACAAAAATAACCGCAAATGTATCTTGTTTAGTTGTCAATTTCAGCAATTTTGGTTCAATTTAGCAATATATATATATATATATATATATAGAGAGAGAGAGAGAGAGAGAGAGAGAGAGAGAGAGAGAGTGAAAACTTAGAGAAGAGAACGGTGTCTGTATTACAAAAATAACGGATACAAAAAAACTGACATTAATTGAAACTACTTGGGCCCAAAATGACATTTGGGCCTTTTTTTAGTAGATATTTTGTTGTGGGCTATTTTTAGTTGGGAAAGTTTATAGAGTGACACTTTGGATAATTTCCCTTTTTTTTTAAAATAAAACTTTTTCCTGTTTGATTTGTTTGATATAGTCATAATAAAGAAAACAAAATTTTGTATTAGTTTTGTTTGAAAATTAAATAAATTATAATAAAATAAACAAAGTGATTAATCTTTTTTTTTTTAGAGTTGGACAACTTTTTATCCATTGTTTAGCGCATGTTAAATAAAGTGATCTTTGACGATTATATTAACTCAATCTATATATTTTGATCTGCCTAAATTCAGTTCAAACTCTTTCATTTGACACCCATAAATTGTCAAGCAACCTAATATAAAGTTGCTTTCACCAAAATCGCATGGGTATACTCAAATTGCCTGATCGTATAGTTCGCTATATATCCATCAATTCAATTAGGTATTAAGCTGCCAAAATATGAACAAGAGAAATATCACATAAATATATGAAGTTGTCTAATCAGGCAATCGCTTATCTCATGCCAACTTATACTAATCACACATATGTAAAACATGTGATCTACCATTAAAACAAAAGAACAACTTTAAGCCCATGCGTAGGTTTAGGGAGATAAAATACATTTACCATATTATCATACGATAAAATTATAACTCTTTCTCAATGGAATTACAACTGAATCCTTATGAGAAGAGGTAACATTAAACACTATGTCCAAGCATTCAATTTTTGGTTACTCGGTGGGATGGGATCCCTTCATGCCTTAAGTCTCGTGTTCGAGCTCTGAGACTAAATTTGTTTTTAATAGAAAACGTTTCTCTTACGCGCCACGAATCTGGATTAGTCCGATCAGTGAGTTTCGAATACTAGATGATTAAAAAAAATGCACCTTTAACAAAGTCTTTTTGAAGCCTTCTATTATGATCACCTACCATAACTGACATGTTAGGTATTAAGTCTCCTATAAAATCAATATATTTTTCTCCTAATACTTCCTTAATTAATAAAGGATCTTCGACAAATTTCTCCTACACAATCCAGTTTTGCTGCGATTTTTCTTTCTCATTATGACATCCTCTCCACTTCTTTCAACAATGGCCAAGAGGTTAGTGTCGTGTTTAACATCCCTCTCTATTGTACCATATTCAACCTCATATATGACATGTTCTAGACCATAAATTTCAAAAGCATTTCTTTATTCTTTCTTTAAATTTCTTGTTCAATCAAATACAGTCAAACTTCTCTATAATAGTCTCGTTTATTCTGATATTTGTTGGTTGGTATAGTGAAGTGTTGTTATAGAAAAAAATATATATTGTAACATAACGTAAAAATCGGTTTCAAGAAAAACTTGATTTTTGACGGTATATATTATCATATAAAATGGGTTGAAGGGACTAATATTTTGTCCTTAAATGAAAAGATAACTTAAAATAGACCATAGAAGTATGATTAAAATTACAATGAAGCTGCTTTACTTACACATTTTATTGTGAAGGTTGGAGGGAATTAAAGTAGCATTGATAAGTGGAGGAGCCAGTGGCATCGGCGAAGGAATTTCCAAGCTGTTCTGTGAGCACGGCGCCAAAGTCGCCATTGCTGACGTCCAAGATGAAATCGGCCAGTTACTGAGCTCCACACTATGCAACTCCACTTATATTCATTGTGATGTTACAAACGAAGAGGATGTCCAAAATGCTGTCAACAAAACTGTGTCTGATTTCGGAAAACTTGACGTTATGATCTGCAGTGCTGGCATAGGTGGCGAGAATAAACCCCGAATTATCGACAATGACAAGGCGGATTTTGAGCGAGTTGTTAGCATCAACTTGACCGGAGTATTCCTGTGCATGAAGCATGCCGCAAGAGTCATGGTCCTGTTAATTAGAATTTTGTTTAAATATAAACAATAAATAAAATACTTTTATTTTGTTCCAAAGAAAAAATATGTTTTAAATTAAAATTTGTGTCTTAAAAAAAGGATGAATATTTTCATCTTAAGTTGGTTTTCTTGTCGCTATAATTTGTTGCTTACTGACCTTCTATAGCTAGTCTTGTCTTCTCCTCCAAATATTCTCTTTTTCTTCTTAAATTTCTGCATCTGAAAATTGACTAGAAATGTTTTTTCTTTCTTAAGAGTTTCTCCGCTATTTGTTTAGTGCACAAATTTAGTTACTGTTTCGCCATAGATTTTGGCTTCTTTTTTTTTTTCCAAAAAAATTGAAAACAGAGTTTGTTTATATTTATGGGATATAATTAGTTTTTGAAAAAAATTTGAAAAAATTTTCAAGTTCGCAAAAATTGGTTTAGAACAGTTTTTGGGTGAAAATATTTATTCTACTCACAAAACTTTAATTTTTTCAAATAAAATGCATGTCTAAATACAATTTCAACTTTTAAAAATTATTTTTAAACACAGCTTCAAATACTCCTTTTTCAAGTTTCAACCAAATCTTTGTCCAATCGCTAACTTAAAGACTTATCATATTCACTAAAAAAAATTGCATATATATCTCATAGCAATCTCGTGAGGGAGTATTTCCCACATAATTTTCGATGGAACTGTTTACCACAGATTTTCGTCGGAAATTCCATATTACTGACAACGTTCCAACTAGTAGTGGAGCCAAAAAATTGTACTTACGTATAAATGTACATAGTTTTTTATGTATATATATAACTAGTTGAATTCACTTTATTTATATAAAAATAAAAAATAAAAAGCTTTCAAGTGTAATATTTTTTTGAATCCCCTTTATTAGAATTTTGGGCTCCAGTCCACCACTATTTTCTATATAAACGTCCATGGGAAATTCATAGATTTCTAGTAGTGAGAACTGAGAAGCATTAAATCATTTGTGTTAATTCTCATTCATATTTTGCAACAGGAAGCAGTCTTTATAACAGCCCACTCAATTACTTTAAATTAAAAATAATAAGTGAATGCATAATATATGTATAATAATTAATATATAATTTATATATATACAAGTTAAAAAAAATAAATAGTGAAATTGACCGACTATTTATGTTAATTCTTCATTCATATTTTGCAACAGGTCCCAGCAAAACAGGGCTACATCATTTCCATGGAAAGCGTAAGCTCTGTAGTTGGTGCAGTGTAATATGACCAATATTATGGCCAAAGGAGTCCATCTCACATAAATATAAGTATTTTTATAAAGTATAGACTTTGTTGGCAATATTCTTTGGGACCCAAAAATATTGCATTGTATGGTGGACATCATTTGCACAAGTTATATCTCTTCTTTTATACCTAAGAGGCCAAGACTTTTTTGCCTATAAAAGAGAAGGCCATTAGTTCATTTTAGACACACCAACAAGACTTGAGTCTTCATTTCTTGTTTCTTCCTTTTCTCCTTTATTAAGAGTATTTTGTATGAGAGTTAGTGTTGTGAATCACATGTGTTAACCCTTTCTTTGGAGTGATCTTGTAAGGTTATTCTCTTAAAGTATTTGGGATTAATTAGAGTATTTACTCTAATTTTGTACTCTTGTTGGTATAGTGAAATTGCACATCTCCGCTTGTGGACGTAGGTCACTTTGACAGAACCACGTTAAATTTGTGTCTTCTTTATCTGCTTTAATTGTCGTTGTTATCAACTTCCATTGTCTTTATTATTGTCATTATACCGTTATTTGACTAAATTTCGCACTACTCGGGTTCCTGATCTAAAAAATTGGTATCAGAGCCAGATCTAACCGAGATTGCTTCAAGGAAAGGAGAAGAAGCCAGATAAAATGACGGATAAGGAGTTTGTCGTCATATACAAAAAGATAAAAGCATGTATCATTTTAAATCTCTCAAATGAGATTTTACGTGAACTTTCTGTAGAAACCACAACCAAAGGCATGTGAAAAAAATTGAAAACCTTATATATGAAGAGGACGGTGAAAAATAGACTTTACCTGAAGTAGAAGCTTTATGCAATTCGTATGGGTGAAGGTACCTCTATTCTCTCTCATCTTCACACATTTAATTCCATTCTTATGGATGTGAATAATATAGATGCTGAAATTAAAGATGAGGATCAAACTGTGTTACTGCTTTGTTCGCTACCCTCATCTTTTAAGCATATAAGAGATACTATACTTTATGCAAAGGATAATATCTCTTATAAGGATATTAAAAGAACAGATAGATAGTGATATTACTTGGGAAGCTAGTGGAACTCAAGCGGAAGTTAGCTTGTTTGTTAGGGAAAATCAGACTCCATATCCAGATACAATAATTTAAAGTGTCGCTATTGTCATAAGAAATGCCACATTATCTTTGAATGCTATAAACTAAAAAATAAAGAAAAGCATAAAGAAAGAAAAAATGAGCACAAAAATATTGACACCGCCGAAGCTAGTGTAGCAACTGATGAGATTGAGGAAACTATATTTTTAGCAACTGAACCTAGTTTCAGATTAGACAGTGAGTGGATTTCAGATTTTGGTTGTTCATATCATATGTGTCCTAACAGGGACTTGTTTTCTACATATGATTCAGTTGCAGGTGGAGTTGTCCAACTGGGTAACGATGTTACTTGTAATGTTATTGGCAATGGTACAATTCGGATCAGAATGCACGATGGTGTGGTGAGAACTCTCACCGATATTAGATATGTTCCTGAGTTGAAGAAAAATCTCATCTCTTTAGGCACTCTAGAGTCTCTTGGGTGCAAGTACACATGTGAAGGTGGAGTTCTGAAAGTTTCTCATGGTGCTCTTGTGATCATGAAAGCACATAGATCTGGTTCGTTGTATACTTTATTGGGCTCCACTGTTATAGACCCTACTACAGTTTTGGTATCAGACAATTTGTCTTATTTTGATGGCATTAAATTTTGACATATGTCCATTGGGGCTTTTGCGGAGAGGGTGGAGCAAATTTATTATATCAGCCAAAATTAGGCCAAGGTGGAGATTTGTATTATGACCAATATTTTAGCTAATGGGGTCAATCTCACATAAGCATAAGCATCTTTGCAAAGTGTAGACTTTGTTGGCAATATTCTTTGGTACCCAAAAATATTGCATTGTGTGGTGGACATCATTTGCACAAGTTGTATCTCTTCTTTTACACCTAAGAGATAAGACTTTTTTGCCTATAATAGGGAAGGTTATTAGTTCATTTTAGACACACCAACAAGATTTGAGTCTTCATTTCTTGTTTCTTCCTTTTTTTTTCCTTTATTAAGGGCCCGTTTGGACATACAATTTGGTTGAAGATCTTTCCAAAAAAAATTCACTTTTTTCCGAAATCAGCGTTTGATCATAAAATTTTCAATTTTCACTTGAAGATAGATTTTGAAAATTTTCGAAAATTTGAAACAACCCAAACTGAAAGAATCACTCACAAAACTTCAAAAATAACCCGAACTGAAATTTACTATATTAGCCAAAATTAGGCCAAGGTAGAGATTTGTATTATGACCAATATTTTGGCTAATGGGGTCCATCTCACATAAGCATAAGCATCTTTGCAAAGTGTAGACTTTGTTAGCAATATTCTTTGAGACCCAAAAATATTGCATTGTGTGGTGGACATCATTTGTACAAGTTGTATCTCTTCTTTTACACCTAAGAGGCCAAGACTTTTTTGCCTATAAAAGGGAAGGCCATTAGTTCATTTTAGACACGCAAACAAGACTTGAGTCTTCATTTCTTGTGTTCTTCTTTTTCTCCTTTATTAAGAATGTTTTGTATGAGAGCTAGTGTTGGGAAGCACATGTGTGAACCCTTTCTTTGGAGTGATCTTGTGAGGTTATTCTCTTAGGGTATTTGGGATTAATTAGAGTATTTAGTCTAATTTTGTACTCTTGTTGGTATAGTGAAATTGCTCCTCTCCGCTTGTGGACGTAGGTCACTTTGACCGAACCACGTTAAATTTGTGCCTTCTTTATCTGCTTTAATTGCCATTGTTATCAACTTTCATTATCTTTGTTATTGTCATTATACCGTTGTTTGACTAAATTCCGCACAACCCGGGTTCCCGATCCTATAAAATTGGTATCAAAGCCGGATCTAACCGGATTTGTTTCAGTAGCCAATATAACTTTAACAAAGACTTATGTTGAGAAATTTGATCAAAGTACAAATTTCGGAATGTGGCAATTAAAGATGAAGGCTAACCTAATTCAGGATGGCTTAAATTTGGCGTTGCAAGAAAAGGAGAACAAGCCGGATAAAATGACGGATGGGGAGTTTGTCGTCATAGACAAAAAGACAAAAATATGTATTATTTTAAATCTCTCAAATGAGGTTTTACGTGAAGTTTCTATAGAAATCACAGCCAAAGGCATGTGGAAAAAATTGAAAACCTTATATATGAAGAGGACGGTGAAAAATAGACTTTACCTGAAGCAAAAGCTTTATACAATTTGTATGGGTGAAGGTACCTCTATTCTCTCTCATCTTGACACATTTGATTCCATTCTTATGGATGTGAATAATATAGATGTTGAAATTAAAGATGAGGATCAAGTCGTGTTACTGTTTTGTTCTCTATCCCCATCTTTTAAGCATATAAGAGATACTATGCTTTATACAAAGGATAATATCTCTTATAAGGATATTAAAAGAACATATAGATAGTGATATTACTGGGGAAGCTAGTGGAACTCAAGCGGAAGTTGGCTTATTTGTTAGGGGCAAATCCGACTCCATATCCAGATACAATAATTTAGAGTGTCGCTATTGTCATAAGAAAGGTCACATTATCTCTGAATGCTATAAACTAAAAAATAAGAAAAGCATAAAGAAAGAAAAAATGAGCACAAAAATATTGACACCGCCGAAGCTAGTGTAGCAACTGATGAGATTGAGGGAACTATATTTTTAGCAACTGAACCTAGTTTCGGATTAGACAATGAGTGAATTTTAGATTTCGGTTGTTCATAACATATGTGTCCTAACAGGGACTTATTTTCTACATATAATTCAGTTGCAGGTGGAGTTGTCTAACTCGATAACGATGTTACTTGTAATGTTACTGGCAAAGGTATAATTCGGATCAGAATGCACGATGGTGTGGTGAGAACTCTCTCCGATGTTAGATATGTTCCTGAGTTGAAGAAAAATCTCATCTCTTTGGGCACTCTAGAATCGCTTGGGTGCAAGTACACATGTGAAGGTGGAGTTCTAAAAGTTTTTTATGGTGCTCTTGTGATCATGAAAGCACATAGATCTGGTTCGTTGTATACTCTATTGGGCTCCACTGTTATAGGCCCTGTTACAGTTTTGGTATTAGACAACTTGTCTGATTTTGATGGCATTAAATTTTGACATATGTCCATTGGGGCTTTTGCGGAGAGGGTGGAGCAAATTTACTATATCAGCCAAAATTAGGCCAAGGTGAAGATTTGTATTATGACCAATATTTTAGCTAATGGGGTCCATCTCACAAAAGCATAAGCATCTTTGCAAAGTGTAGACTTTGTTAGCAATATTCTTTGGGACCCAAAAATATTGCATTGTGTGGTGGACATCATTTGCACAAGTTGTATCTCTTCTTTTACACCTAAGAGGCCAAGACTTTTTTGCCTATAAAAGGGAAGGCCATTAGTTCATTTTAGATACGCCAACAAGACTTGAGTCTTCATTTCTTGTGTTCTTCCTTTTCTCCTTTATTAAGAATGTTTTGTATGAGAGTTAGTGTTGGGAAGCACATGTGTGAACCCTTTCTTTGGAGTGATCTTATGAGGTTATTCTCTTAGGGTATTTGGGATTAATTAGAGTATTTAGTCTAATTTTATACTCTCTTTTGTACTCTTGTTGGTATAGTAAAATTGCTCCTCTCCGCTTGTGGACGTAGGTCACTTTGACCGAACCACGTTAAATTTGTGCCTTCTTTATCTGCTTTAATTGCCATTGTTATCAACTTCCATTGTCTTTGTTATTATCATTATACCGTTGTTTGACTAAGTTCCGCACTACTCGGGTTCCCGATCCTAAAAAATTGGTATGAGAGCCGGATCTAACCGGGTTTGTTTCAGTAGCCAATATAACTTTAACAAAAACTTATGTTGAGAAATATGATCAAAGTGCGAACTTCGGAATGTGACAATTAAAGATGGAGGCTATCCTAATTCAGGATGGCTTAAATTTGGCGTTGCAAGGAAAGGAGAACAAGCCGGATAAAATGACGGATGGGGAGTTTGTCGTCATAGACAAAAAGACAAAAACATGTATCATTTTAAATCTCTCAAATGAGGTTTTACGTGATGTTTCTGTAGAAACCACAGCCAAAGGCATGTGAAAAAATTGAAAATCTTATATATGAAGAGGACGGTGAAAAATAGACTTTACATGAAGCAAAAGCTTTATACAATTCGTATGGGTGAAGGTGCCTCTATTCTCTCTCATCTTGACACATTTGATTCCATTCTTATGGATGTGAATAATATAGATGTTGAAATTAAAGATGAGGATCAAGTCGTGTTACTGTTTTGTTCTCTATCCCCATCTTTTAAGCATATAAGAGATACTATGCTTTATACAAAGGATAATATCTCTTATAAGGATATTAAAAGAACATATAGATAGTGATATTACTGGGGAAGCTAGTGGAACTCAAGCGGAAGTTGGCTTGTTTGTTAGGGGCAAATCCGACTCCATATCCAGATACAATAATTTAGAGTGCCGCTATTGTCATAAGAAAGGTCACATTATCTCTGAATGCTATAAACTAAAAAAATAAGAAAAGCATAAAGAAAGAAAAAATGAGCACAAAAATATTGACACCGCCGAAACTAGTGTAGCAACTGATGAGATTGAGGGAACTATATTTTTAGCAACTGAACCTAGTTTCAGATTAGACAATGAGTGAATTTCAGATTTCGGTTGTTCATATCATATGTGTCCTAACAGGGACTTCTTTTCTATATATGATTCAGTTGCAGGTGGAGTTGTCTAACTCGATAACGATGTTACTTGTAATGTTACTGGGAAAGGTACAATTCGGATCAGAATGCACGATGGTGTGGTGAGAACTCTCACCGATGTTAGATATGTTCCTGAGTTGAAAAAAAATCTCATCTATTTGGGTACTCTAGAATCTCTTGGGTGCAAGTACACATGTGAAGGTAGAGTTCTGAAAGTTTCTCATGGTGCTCTTGTGATCATGAAAGCACATAGATCTGGTTCGTTGTATACTTTATTGGGCTCCACTGTTATAGGCCCTACTACAGTTTCGGTATCAGACAATTTGTCTGATTTTGATGGCATTAAATTTTGACATATGTCCATTGGGGCTTTTGCGGAGAGGGTGGAGCAAATTTACTATATCAGCCAAAATTAGGCCAAGGTGGAGATTTATATTATGACCAATATTTTGGCTAATGGGGTCCATCTCACATAAACATAAACATCTTTGCAAAGTGTAGACTTTGTTAGCAATATTGTTTGGGACCCAAAAATATTGCATTGTGTGGTGGACATCATTTGCACAAGTTGTATCTCTTCTTTTATACATAAGAGGCCAAGACTTTTTTGTCTATAAAAGGGAAGGCCATTAGTTCATTTTAGACACACCAACAAGACTTGAGTCTTCATTTCTTGTGTTCTTCCTTTTCTCCTTTATTAAGAATGTTTTGTATGAGAGTTAGTGTTGGAAAGCACATGTGTGAACCCTTTCTTTGGAGTGATCTTGTGAGGTTATTCTCTTAGGGTATTTGGGATTAATTAGAGTATTTAGTCTAATTTTGTACTCTCTTTTGTACTTTTATTGGTATAGTGAAATTGCTGCTCTCCGCTTATGGACGTGGGTCACTTTGACCGAACCACGTTAAACTTGTGTCTTCTTTATCTGCTTTAATTGCCATTGTTATCAACTTCCATTATTTTTGTTATTGTCATTATATCGTTGTTTGGCAAAATTTTGCACTATCCGGGTTCCCGATGCTTATACCAGCGCCAAACACGCCGTGTTAGGTCTCACAAAAAACTTGTCAGTTGAATTCGGCCAATTCGGAATACGGGTCAATTGCTTGTCTCCTTATGCTTTGGTTACGCCTTTGGCCACAAAATTTATTGGAATACTTGATCCTGAGAAATTTGAAAATACCACGCATATGGCTGGGAATCTTAAAGGAGTAACGCTTAGAGAGGATGATGTTGCAAAAGCTGCTCTTTTCTTGGCAAGTGATGATGCTAAATATTTAAGTGGCCATAATCTCTTAATTGATGGCGGATTTGGCGTCTTTAATCCTTCTCTTGGGATGTTTAAATATCCAGAATCAACTTGATTATATTGAGCAAGTTAAGTGTATTAATCTTCCATTTACAAAAATGAAAAATTAATAAAACAATGAAAGTTAGTTAAATTTTATTAAGCTCGTGGAGTATTACATACGTAATGGTATTTATTTTGACATTTCTTATTGAAAGAAAAACAAATTTGTGTTTAATAAAATAGTCCGTATTCAAAGCTCTTTACATCTAACTGTATGAGTTTTAATAGCTGCCTTCTTACATTCTATTGTAGTAAAATACATACACGTAACCTGTAGAATATTATAGTAATTAAAGAAGCAGAAGGATCCTAGGAGGTGGCAAATGAGCGGACTGGATTAACTGGTATCAAAATACACTAATAATGTAAGAAATTTTGCATATAATATAAACTATAGTATATCATTAAAATGCCTGCAATCAGAAAGGAATTACGGAGCTCTGACTTCTGAGCAACTTAGCCCATATCATTCATTCAATTCAAATCTTTATATATATTTCTGGTATTGGTTGAAGAAGTCTGGTTGCACATGGTTTACTCTGTTTATCACACTTTAATGCTACTGCACTATTCATTCAATCAAGTAAATTTTATTTCAAAAAGATTAAAAATTAAAAAATAGCAGCCCGGTGCACAAGGCATTCCAAGTTCAATCAGGATCTGGGGAAGGACCACACCTCAAGGGATGTGACGTAGATATCCTACCCTAATGCAAGCATTAGTGGCTGCTTCCACGACTCGAACCGTGGCTTATAGGTCACACGGAAACAACTTTGCCATCGCTCCAAGCCTCCCTTCAAAAAGATTAAAAATTAAAAAATAGTAGCCCGGCACAAGGTATCCTGTATTCACTTCGGTCCGGGGAAGGGCCGCACCTCAAGGGGTATGACGTAGACAGCCTACCCTAATGCAAGCATTAGTGGCTACTTCCAGGCTCGAACCCGTAACCTATATAGGTCACAAAGAGACAACATTACCATTGCTCCAAATCTCCCTTCAAAAAGATTAAAAGTTAAAAAATAGCAGCCCGGCACAAGGTATCCCGTGTTCACTCAGGGTCCGGGGAATGGATGTTTCCACGGCTTGAACGCATAATATATAGGTCACATGGAGACAACTTTACCATTGCTGCGAGGCTCTACTAAAAAAGATTAAAAATTTAATGTCCTAAGGTAGTTAAGTAGTATATATATTGATCTCACTACTCTGAAACTCACTGAAGTTGTATTTACTAATGTAGAATGAAAGCTGGATTTCTGCAGTCTGCACATGCCATTTATCTTTACTACTTAGTTTGCAGTTGTTTGTTGAGATATACTTCTGTAAAAAATCAAGAAAGTGGTAGGTACAGTCATTTAATGCAATCTTTTGTATTACAACTCCTAATTTGCAGTTGCACTCCAATTTGTCCAAAAGATATCCAATTATCTATATTTGGTTTGTGGCTTAAAACTTTCTATTTAAGGAAACATTAAATAAAAGGCTTTTATAAAAGTTATCATGGCTCTATAGGTGCAACCTTTCTTGTACCAATCAAAGCATTTACTCAACATGATTGAGTTCTTAAAGTTAAATACTAGTACTTGTGTGGTGTTTCTTCCTCCTATATTCAGAGAAAAGCCTTCAAATTTAACAATGAAGTTCCTCTCTTTTAAAATATACTCTTCTCTTGTTTGTTATTCACTTCTGGTGTGTTATGTCAAAGCAGTTACAAGGATACCATATAATGAGTCTATTCCGGCAGTGATAGTTTTCGGAGACTCCATTGTCGATACAGGTAACAATAATGGCCTCAAAACTGTATCTAAGGTTAATTATCCGCCGTATGGTCAGGATTTCATGGGAGGAAAACCAACGGGAAGGTTTTCTAATGGGAAAGTTCCTGCGGACTTGATTGGTAAGAACAATTTGAGATATAAGCATTTCGAGTATTGTCTTATCTACAGTGGCGGATCCAAGATTTAAACTTAGTGGATTCAACTTACAAGATTTTCAGTATTGAACTCACTATACTATTAAAATTATGGATTCAAATGTAATATTTTACGATTTTAGTAGATTTAACATATATAGCTATACTTAGTGTCGAAAGTTATGGATTCAGATAAATCCGTAGCATGTAGACTACATCCCCTGCTTATCTACAATTACATTAGAGAATAATCCTTAGTCTTTCTCTTAATTTCAGTTGAAGAATTGGGAATAAAAGAGCTATTACCAGCATATCTTGATCCAACTTTACAACCAAAAGACCTCATCACAGGAGTTAATTTTGCTTCGGGTGGTGCAGGATATGATCCTCTAACATCTGAACTCGCGGTACATTTCTTTCCTTTGTTCATTTTTCTGTGTTTTTACCTTATATATTTCTGAAAACTTTTAAATATAAATAAATGCAGAAAGTTATTTCATTGTCGCGTCAGTTGGAAATGTTCAAAGAGTACATACTAAAGCTAAGAGAAATAGTTGGAGAGGATAAGAAAAATGAGATCTTGGCCAACAGTCTATTCATATTGGTCACAGGAACCAATGACATTATCAACACATACTTTAATACGCCTCTTCGGAAAAGCTACTATGATGTTTCATCATATGCAGATCTTTTGGTCAACTCTGCTTCTAGTTTTGTACAGGTAATATAACATTTTAACTCAATCTGAATTCATGCGACTATCCAAGACTAAATATAAAATGTTGTTCATACCTTTGAAGGATTTATATGGGCTAGGGGCACGTCGGATTGGTGTTTTTGGCATACCACCAATCGGATGTTTGCCATCTCAAAGAACATTGAGAGGAGGAGAAGAAAGGGAATGTGTTGATTATCTGAACCAAGCGGCACAACTGTTCAACAGCAAGTTGGCAGCAGAGTTAAGCTCCCTTGGAAACGAATTTCCTGATTCAAGAATGGTGTATGTAGATGTATACAATCTTCCACTTGATGTCATCTACAACCCTCAAAAATATGGTGAAATATGTCTGCCTTTAATTTCTTTAATACCAGTTAGAATAGGCAAGATTTCAATTCCTTACCTTTATATGATTGTGCAGGATTCAAGATTTCAGACAAAGGATGTTGTGGGACGGGGAAAATAGAAGTTGCAGAGTTATGCACATTTACATGTTCAAGTGATTCTGATTATGTTTTTTGGGATAGCTTTCATCTTACAGAAAAAGCATACAGACAATTAGTTCATCAAATTCTTGCCCAACATTTAAGTAGCTTCTTCTGATAGATTCACATGCCAACATGCATAGTTGGATAATCTCATCATAAAAATATTTATTTTTGTTGTATACTGCAACGAGAAGAAGAATACCAGCTCACCCTATGTACTATCCTACTCATTTGGTTTTTGGGACAATTATACATGATTTATAGCACATGGATTGTAATACAGTTAAATATAATCAATGAATTCTTATTATTTGTTGCCCAATGATTGACTGATCTGTAGGCCTGGGAGTGTTTTCATCGGACACCTTATAAGTAAGTGATTACAACGTTGGACTTCGAACTTTGTATTTACCATTTGTTCGTGTAATTGATCCAAACAAGTCTCCATTTGGTTTACATTAAGCTCTGAAAGACACTTCATAGGTCAACTTATTGCTATTATTTGTAAATACCAATTTATTTGAAATCACTTGGACTTCCAACCCAGCCGGTGCCTTTATACTTGCAGTGTATGCTGCTGCTGCTTCCGCAATATTAAATAAAATTCTGGTTACTTTCTTGGTTTCATTTCCTTTGATATTTGAAACAGCCATGGATGTGTAATTCATTTTTGAGATTGATTCAGAACTTGAGTTGGTGGGACATGAAATATTGTCAGTAACTGCTTTTGAGATTAGTTATCAACTAAGTATCGTAAGTAAATTGCTCCCGATTGTTCAATCATTTCATAACTAGAGTTATTCTTCGATAAATGATCACTATGAGTACTCAATAGAATTTGATCAAATTTTTTTCTTTAATGTGTCATAGCCGATTGAACATAGGAACTGCAAGTAGTCTGCACATACTTAGTACGTCTATTCATATTGGCCACAGGAAGCAATGACATTATCAACACATACTTAGTATGCCTCTTCGAAAACCCTACTATGATGTTTCATCATACACTGATATTTTGCTCAACTTTGCTTCTAGTTTTGTACAGGTAATATAACATTTTAACTCAATCTGAATTCATGGGAATATACAAGACTAAATATGTGATCTCTTTTCATAACTTTGAAGGATTTATATGGGCTAGGGGCACGTCGGATTGATGTTTTTAGCATACCACCAATCGGATGTTTGCCATCACAAAGAACATTGAGAGGAGGAAAAAAAGGGAATGCGTTGATTATTTGAACCAAGTGGCACAATTGTTCAACTGCAAGCTGGCAGCTGAGTTGAGCTCTCTGGGAAACAAACTTCCTGATTCAAGAATGGTGTATGTAGATATATACAATCCTACACTTGATGTCATCTACAACCCTCAAAAATATGGTAAAAATATGTCTGACTTTTTCTTGAAATAGTTAAGAATGGACAAGATTTTCCATCCCTTATCTTTATATAGTTGTGCAGGATTCAAGATTGCAAACAAGGGATGCTGTGGAACAAGGAAATAGAAGTTATAAAGTTTTGCACATTCGCATATTCCAGTGATTCTGATTATGTTTTCTGGGATAGCTTTCATACAGAAAAAGCATACAGACTGTTAGTTCATCAGCTTCTTGTCCAACATTTAAGAAGGTTCTTATGCTAGATTTGCATGCCAACATGCATAGTTGGATGGTCTCATCACTTTTAGAATCATTACCAATCATTAAAAAAATGATTTTAGTAGTATACTGCAAGGAGAAGAAAACTACCAGCCCACCCTATGTACTATCCTAATCATTTGGTTCACGCACAATTATACATGAATTACAACACATGGGTTGTAATACAATGGTATTTGTTGCCGAATGATTGATCAATTATATTTTATTTTCTCACTTACTGCACATGTGTGTAATCCCTGATCTTTATTTCTTTCTTTTTTTTCTAGTTTAAGTTGCATGTACATGATGTGGTAGTAATACAGTTGTATTCATGGAGACATGGACATACAAACTTGCTAGACTACTTTGATCGGCGATCTGCAGGCCTGGGAGTGTTATCAGACACCTTATAAGTGGTTACAACGAATGGACTTCGAACTTTGTATTTACCATTTATCCATGTAATTGATCCGAACAAGTCTCCCTTTGGTTTAGATGAAGTTCTGAAAGACACTTCATAGCTCAACTTCTTGCTATTATTTGTAAATACCAATTTATTTGGAATCACTTGGACTTCCAATCCAGCTGGCGCCTTTATAATTGCAGTGTATGTTGCTTCTTCTTCTGCAACATTAGTTATCATTCTGGTTACTTTCTTAGTTTCATTTTCTTTGATATTTGAAACAGCTACGGATGGGTAATTCATTTTTGAGATTGATTCAGAACTTGAGTTGGTGGGACATGAAAAATCGTCAGGAACTGTTTTTGAGATGAGTTTTATCTTTATTGGGTCATAGCCGATTGAGCATAGGAACTGCAAGTAGTCTGCAGCGTAAGTCTCGTAGACCAATCCTGGATTGATTGCCCCTGAAGGGCTTGCTTCTCCGGCTCCAATATCGTATGGTGTTGCAACTGATCCAGAATTTGTTGTGATTGGAGCCTTCAAATTGTTAGTCTGTATAGCTGTTAAGACAAAGCTTAACATGAGTCAGTATAAAAGGTAGCTTGGTGCATTAAGCTCCTGCTAATGTGTGGGGTCTTGGGAAGGGCCGTACCATATTCACGACTTGACATGAGTCAGTATACCCAAAAAATGAAGAAGGTGAATTAGATTTCTTACCTGTGGTCATAATAGCTGATTTGATTGCTGAAGGACTCCAAGAAGGATTTTGCGCCTTGACTATCGCGACAATACCAGAAACATGAGGACAGGACATGGAAGTCCCTGAGAGTATGTTGAAAAGTGGTGGTTCCTGTCCTAAGACAGCCTCTTTCGTGTCATTTCCAGGCCAAGCCGCGAGAATGGCAACCCCTGGTGCTGTAGTATCTGGCTGCAAGTACAAACTCAAATCCGGTCAGCTTATTTTTTGTTCTGTTATATCATTAGACCATAACATAAGAAGAAAAAAGGTAAGTGTCTTTACTTTGAGGAGGTTAAGAGTGTTGTATGCAGGACCCCTTGATGAGAAGTAAGCCACAACAGGAGCTGGTTTGTACTTGGTTTTTGAAACAGTTGGTAGAATTGATGCAACTGGATTCCTATTAAGTTTTAAAGAATCTTTTATTCAAATGTGCAGTATCCAATATATGAGATTCAGAATAGCTAACTATTGGAAACTTAAAAGTGATTTCATTACCTTGTTGAGTTAATGTAGGAGAGGATCTCATTGCCATCTTTTTCGGTTACTACAGCCGCGGGAAAGGATTTGAATTTTGGTGCTACTGTTCTTGCATTATCATCTACTAGTATAAATCCAATGCCACCTTTGCTCTTCACTTCTTCTAGCTTATCACTAGGTGAATAACCTTCGTCGTGATTATGACAAAGAACAATTTTCCCCTTAACTTTCTTTTCATTTAATGAATCCGGAACACAACTCCTGAAGCACATCTGTTAGTTAGTTACATGTATATACTATTTCAATTTCTTTGAGAAAGACATCAAAATGATGTGATCCTAATGTTTTATGTTCTTCAAATTACCTTGCATTTTTCTCAGAAATATCATTATCTTCTGATTTGGCTAAATCACCACTAATCAACGGGTATACTGTAGAATTTGTCAAATTACCAAAACTTATGCCCCCTCCCTGTAACTCAAACAAGATTACTAAGTAGTATTTCAGTACATAACTTTGACAGTTTTCTCTGGCTTAAAACATGCAAAAACAGAACACAGGATTGATGTTTAGCATAGTTTTTACCTTAATCAACTTGTTCCCACCTAAGACAATATCAGTTTCGAAGTCACGGTCAATTGTAGTAGCTGCAACTGTGAGAATCCAAGGAGCAACATTGACAACACTTTTCGCGCTTGGTCCATCATTTCCAGCAGAACAGACAACAAGAATTCCCTTTTCAACAGCATGAAATGCTCCAATAGCAATAGGATCATTCGAAAATTCAGGTTCAAGTCCAGATGATGAGCCAAGTGATAATGATAAAACATCAACTCCATCCGCAATGGCATCATCAAATGCTTTCATTATAGCTGATCCGCGGCATCCATCACTCGTGCAGACACGATACATGGCTATCCTTGAACTCGGGGACCCACCCTTCGCGGTCCCAGCCGCCAGGCCATAATAAGATGCTCCTGAAATTGGATTCCCAGCTGCTGTAGATGCAACATGAGTTCCATGTCCGTTTTGGTCCCTAACTGAGCCAGAAGGTTTTCTGTTGTCCTCACCAGAGTCATCATAAAATCTTGCACCAACTAGCTTCCTAATAGAAAATTACAATGATCACATATATAGTAAAAGATATATGTTTTTAATCAGTTATATAAACAGAACATATTTTTTGCAGTCTCAACTACTCAGCAATTTCAAAAAAAATAAAAAAATAAATGTAGTTTGCAGTTTGAGACTGCAAACTATACTTTACCCTTATCATGCCATATATTAAAGACCACAACTTCTAAAGGTACTTTATATCTTTTTTACTTCCTTATGTGGTAAGGAAGTCACGGATTCGTGCCATAGAAACAGCCTCTATGACTGCGTACAATAGATCCTTGTGGTCCGACCCTTTCATGGACCTTGCGCATAGCGGGAGCTTAGTGCACCGGGCTGCCCTTTTTACTTCCTTAAACTTCGTGCTTAGTGTTTTACATATAAAATGAAATATATGGCCAGGAATAGGAGGAGAAAGTTACTTGTTGCATTTGGAAGAGCTGAAATCATGACTTTCCATGCAAGTTCCTTTCCACTGGGAGGGGACTGCACTCATATCATTATCACTAAAACTCTCTGATTCAGGCCATATTCCTGAATAAGATTGTGGAAATCTTTATCATAATAAAGACATAGATATGCAACTAGCTTGCACTATAATATTATAACGTCATTGGAAATTTTCTGATAAATGTTGTACCTGTATCCAAGATACCAATTATGGTGTCAGCTCCTTTTGGTGATGAATCAGAACCAGAGAGTGGACCAGAACTTATTTCTACATCAGTTTGATATTGTAAAAAATCCCATGAACGTGTTGTGTGGAGATTCAATATTGGATCAGGAAATACAGAGATGACTCCAGGTTTTTGAGCAATAGAGTTCGCTTCAGCTTCTGATAAATGCGCAGCAAATCCTGAGAAACCATTCTTGTAGCTGTGTACAATAGCATCTTTTTTCCTAACAGAAATTAAAGACTGAAGTTAGCTCATTCTTGAACGTAAGCAAAATTGAAAGCTTTCATCAGTTATGTTAGCACCAATTTAGTTCAATAACCTGACTACAAATTCAATTCATGTGTCGTAACTCGTACTCCCTCCGTTTTATTTTATTTGGCGGTGTTTGATTTGTCAAAATAGAACGACTTTTCGGACATACTAAAAGTCTAGAAAGTAATGATAGTATGTTTTTAAATATGTCATGACATTTTTATGATTGTCAGACTAAAAAGAAAATAGTAGTAATCATATAAAATGGAATAAATGGGGTATAAATATAAACTAACCTTCTGATTAAAGAGCTCATAAGTTCTGCTTGATTATTTTTAATGCCATCGTTGGATGCATCAGCAGCACCCATGTAAACAATATATACACCATTGTTTTGTACTTGAGAAACTGCGTTGGATTCTCTAAAAAAAGAGGCGAGGAGTAAATAGAGGCAGAAAAGCAGAGAAATGTCTTTCATTTTTTTTGCAAAAGAAGGTCTTTTTAAGAAATCTTGATCACGGTAAGGCTATATATAATATGTATAAATAGCTAAGCAGTGGAATAAAGTGTGGTCTGTTAAGCTTTGTTTGGTGCATTCAAACGTGTGCCCACTGGAAAAACGCCCGTCAATCAGCTGCCACGGGTTATATATTATAACCACCTATAATGCATTTAAATGCTTATCCAAACACACCACTAAGACAGTGGAGTTGTAGTGGTGGTGGTGGCGGTGGCCGCCGTTCTAGTGGCGACTGGTAACTAGTGTGTAATATATACTCACTTCGTTCCAATTTATGTGAACATGTTTGACTTGGCACGGAGTTTAAGAAAAAATGAAGACTTTTGGAATTTATGATCCTAAACAATTCAAAAAGTGCCCAGAGTATTTGTGTGGTTATAAAATTTTCTCATTAAGGGTAGAATTATAAGTTTAAGTAAAATTATTTTCAAATTTATGAAGGGATCATTCTTTTTTAAACGGACCAAAAAGAAAATAGGTTCACGTAAACTAGAATGGAGGTAGTAATTTTATTATGTTGAAGTCATAAAGGGTACAGTGTGTATATATATTTGTAAAGAAGTATAAAACTGAACTACCCATGCATTTTAGATGGAAAGGTTTCCCCTAACAATTTAAGTGTTGTTTTTATTATATTAATTTTTTCATAATCTTACTGGGAATCTGAGATGGGCTCGAATAAACCCAAGTATTTTGAAATTAAGTAGTAGATGTAACGAAACTTGTTTCTGCATGGCTTTTAAATGCACATGAAATTAGGCCAGTAGTCTTTCTGAATGTGATAGCTGAGAACTGTGATTCTTCGCTCGATCAATTCTTGCCATCACGCTCTAGCTTTAGCATCTCCGAGCACATCGTGATTATTAGCAAGAATATACAACATCAATAATTATGCCTCAACCACAAGCAAATTAGGTTGTATGAATCTAGGCTAACAATATCGCTCCATTTGGGCTCAATATATCATGTATTATGAGAATTCGTCATAATTAATTGAGCTATTAGCTTATGTCAATTTTTTTTTCTTTATCTAAGTTCGAGATTAATAATATGAGCAAACTCACACAAATGGAATTATTATTAGAAAGAACATACGGATAAAAACTAGCTAAAACCTATAGGGAGCAGTAACTTACAAGTGAATTTTTTTTTTTTAAGTAATATAATTAATAAGTCATGACTGCCTTTTAATTAGCAAGAACTTGTGATTATTAGCAGGTATAAAAAATAATGACAAAAAGAAAAGGAGAAACTTAAAAGTTAAAAGTCGTATAAAGCACAAGAAGTACTTTAGCTGCCTTTACTTTAATTTGGTGGGTCAATAACAATTATTAACAAACTTGAGTGCTCCATGTGAATCATTAGAGTTTCAAGGCGACACTCACTTTAAGCAGTTGGTCATCACTTTTCTTACATTACTCGTACGTGAGAGTATCACAATTTTACCTTTTTATTTTAGTCTAAAATAAGTATTCATTTACATAATCAAGAAAGAAATAATTTTATTTTTTCAAAATTTACCCTTATTTACATATTCTAATGTGTCAAAGTAACAATTAATTAATGTTAATTTAATGAATACATCTTTTTTTCTCTAGGAGTTCGTATTTCCTTGGTGGGTGTGCCAAAAGTAAAATGGTCACTTATTGTGGACCGGAAGGAGTAATAGTTAGCTTTGTGGGAAACTATGATGTTTTTACGCGTTTGTTATGTACCCAACACAACATTGGATGGTTCTACGAGGCGGAGCCAAGATTTGAAAGTTACATGTTCGGAATTCTAGTACTTTTACATTATTGGTTTCTAATTAATAAATTATACATATTATTAATAGTCGAGGATCTATCGAAAACAGTCGTTCTACATTTATAAAGTAGGGGTAAGGCTGCGTACACACTACCCTCCTCATACCCCACGCATGGGATTAAGCTGGGTTTGTTGTTGTTGTATTCAATAAATATTTTAAGATAAGTATACAAATAGAATAAGTTATTGGATTCAGCCGAACCCGTAACCTAAACTCTAGCTCTGTCCCTGCTAACTTCTATATACCCAGCTAGTTGTTGGAAAAAAAAAAAAAAAAAAAAACCAGTCTGGTGTACAATGCATCTCGCGTTCACCCAGGGTCCGGGAAAGGGTTGCACCCCAAGAAGTGTGATGTAGACAGCTTATCCTAATACAAACATTAGTGACTGTTTTCACGCCTCGAACCCGTAAACTATAGGTCACACGAAAATAACTTTACTTGCATTTCTTTTCAAATACCTAGTGTTGTAACGTATTGAAAATCATGTCCTATACAAGTAGTGCACGCCATAATACCCCTCTTTTTTCCATGTTATTTCTTGAGGGAAATATGACAGAAACATAGACATGAGTATTTGACATACTAAAAGTTAGGCAACAAACCCAAACAAAGAGCACATTAACTGGGGAAGCAAGGGGAACACTTTCTAAAGACATGTACTTTCAAGATACTGATAAAGAAACATGGCAAAACAAAAGAACACTTTCCAAAGACATGTACATTCAAGATAGTGTTTAATTAGCATATTTAATCAGTAAAGATAATGGAAGATATTTACCACAATGATAACCCCACGAATTGCTCATCTTTTGTAGTTTCCATTGAGAGAAGTAGCATAAATAAATTATAAACTATTATATAAATAGTATCAGTCTATTGTCACATTTAGGTTTGTCAGTGAAGTTTAATCTATTGTCACATTGTAATCGAGCTATTCCAATGGTTTTGCTTTTCGTCGAAATATGTATAGAAAAAAGGAGGATTATAAGGGTTTAAAACATTCCGTTACCGGGAATCGAACCCGGGTCTCCTGGGTGAAAGCCAGATATCCTAACCGCTGGACGATAACGGATTCTTGTTGAAGATTTCCTCACTGTGTTTTATTTATATTTTCTTGTATTGGTTGGTAATTTTCATATATTGATTTTCAATTCTTCAGTTTTGGTGAGACACCAAAACTTTAATTCCTAGTTCTAATTCTGTGGGATTTTGTGCAATTGGCTGTTCGTATTAGTGAACTGTATTGATGCATTTTACTATCCAAGGCCAAGTTTCCAATTTCTTAATAACTTTGTTTCCCTGCTTTTTGCCAGGTGATGATAAGTTCAAAGAAATAATAAGCTCTTCTTTTCCTCCTTAAGACCTTTACAAGATAGTTGATTAGCTTAACCTAACTTTGGTGAAATGGAAAGGTTCTTTTATCCTTAATTTAAGATTTCAGTCGAGCCCCTATTAATAGGATTCTCTTTGGTATTTTAGGACGAGAATTCAAATTAGTCAAGTTTGAGTTCCAACACCGAATGCTATAAGCGATTTTTTTATTATTATTATTATTTTTTATTATTGGATATCTGGACCCATTTTGGGACAAAGTTAGAAGTATAAAGGGCCCTATATTGTAAAGAAACTTTTTAAACCATTATTAATTTTCCTTTGAAAAAGAGTATCAGGCAGAGAGAGGCTTATTAACTTTTTGGATGATATTCCTAAAGGAAAAACAGGTCCACAAACCCAGAGGTTCTTCAAATGTCATTATTATTTCTCCAACTCATTGTTCTTAAAGCAATAATAACCTTTATTCTTATTCTGAAAGTTGACTACCACAAAGTAACTCCCAAAAATTAGATTGGTTCTGTAATTAGTCTCAGTGCCTTCTTGGGGTAGGCAGTAGTAAATCGCATGTACCTTAATCTGCTATACATATATCAGCTCCAAAGGTTCAAAATTTTATATACTCTACGAAATATCTTAAATTTACCCTCAGTTATACTTATCATTGTCTCATACTTGCTCTAGACCTGAAGTATAACAAAGAATAATTATAACCCAATAACCTAACGTAGACGGATAAATTTGAACTCCTTTTCACAAGTTAGTTTAACATGTGGAGTCGCTCTACTCAAGCTAGAGCTCCATTAAAGTTGAAGGCAATTACAAAGACAACTTGCTAATGGCAAGAGTAGAAATATACACGAAATATAACGAAGAGAAAACTTATTACTTGATATATTTTGTATAGTAGAAGTGTAAATTTATGGTTAGTTTTTCTCACCAGTACTTTTAGGAAATTTTAGCTGGAAGTCTACCATATAATGATTTACGCTTAACTAACTATTGTGAGATGCAAAAAGAAAAGGAAACAAAATGAAAGGACGAAAAAAAAATTAGAATAAAACAAAATAATGTAACAATCAATATGCCTAGATAAGTATAACAAAATCAGCAGCGCTCAATCGCCCTCTTTACCAGCCAAGCAATAAACTTTCTACATATTCAGAATCTTTCCTCTAAAATGGAGGTAAATTTCAACCCAAAAAAGTTATCCTTAGGCTCAAAATCCGAATTCACCCTGCATCAATAATGCAAGTGACGAGCCAAACAACTCAAAAGTTTCAAACCTATCAACTGTATATCCTTTTAATCTCCACTGTCGTTCCGCTCTCTATACCAGATAACTTACACATTAGTTTTTAATTGTTGCACTCACCTCAAAAACTGCAAAAATATGACTCCACCAGGGGCAGCAATGATGTATGTATAACCTTCCAAATACACCTTTTGTAATTGAATCAGTATGCAAGACAGAGTCCGCCACTCGTTGCAAAATACGCAAAATCAACACCATTGTTTCATGCGTGGCCGGAAGAGATTTCTTCAGCGCTGCCTCCTTGAGCCAGTGTTGATTGATTAGCCGATTCGTCTGATAAGCCACCGACAGGCACATCCATTGGAGCATTGGTCGCTTCTGTAGCACCACTACTATTTGTAGCTGATTCGTTCAAAGAGACATTCTGCAAGGAAGTTGTTAGACCACCATCTGTTGATGCAACAGGTGCTGAAGAACCTGAATCAGCTGCAAATGGGGAAGAAGTATGCGTCCATTTCCTCCAATCATCCCGTCTCCTTATCTTCTCATCCTGGAAATAAGAAATCCTATCAAGATTACTTCCAGTAACAGTTTAGAACACCATCTGTCGATGCAGCAGGAGTGGAACAGTTAGTGCAGAACCAAAAATCAATGAGAATCTAGTGGTTCAAAATTATGTTGTATGAACCACAGCACCCTTACAAAACATAACACGAGAAATAAGGTTATATTGAAGGAAAAGGACTTTAGGATTCTCGAGTCTCACATATCTTACCCTTTATTAACCGTGATAGATATGATTCTCTTAGTTCATGAAAAAGCTTTCAAAAGACAACAAGAAAATAATCCAGTTCTCTGTGAATAATTACTAAAAAGCTTGTCACCATCATATTTTGGATAAGGAATATGACAACAGTCCTTGAACTCAGACAGGCAGTTCAATAACCAATAACTTTAGCAACCTTCATGCACTTATATCATGGGGTTTAATGGTGGAAAAAGGAGCAGGATAAACAGAGAGACTGCCGTATAAGATAAAATTCTCAACTGATGATACAACATGTTGAAAATACAGAGGCAGTGCTATCTAATATTATCAAACTGCATTAAAAGCTTTTGAAGATAATATATCAAGGCAAGAGAAGTTTTAACTGATATATTACCTGCACTTCTACAAGCATTGAAGTCGCCAAACAATACGAAATAAACTGGATATTATCAAACTGAACTTTATCTGTCAAACTCTTAACCTGCAAAAGCAGACCATAGAGCAAAACCTTGATTCGTCTATGGGGCAATAACAATGCAAACATGAAGTACTACTTTATTGTAAAAGCACATACCAGAGCACACAAAATACAACAATCACAATACAAGTATGGTTTACACATGGTCATTTCCAGCAGCGGCGGAGCTAAGTTGGGGGAACTGAAACCCCTCAGTTGAAAAATTATACAGTGGAAATAGGGTAATAACGAATTTTTTGGGTTATATACAAGTTGAATACCCTTGCTATAAGGAAAGTTTAGTGAAGTGGCAAAGGGAGTTTAGACATTGCTTTAGATCACAGGTTTAAATCCCACATGTGACATTCTATTTTTTTTTTAAATTCCCATATCTGGCTCCACCACTGATGTTTAGTACGTTTTTTTTCTTTCTGTATTTTGCAAAATCATAGGAAGTAACTATAGCATTGCAATCCCTTCTCGTTATGGATGTGTCAGGCAAATAAATAGTCCAAGTAACATAGTATATAATGGCATTTGCAGATTACAGTACATCAGATATGAAAAAGTCCCTCTATAAAAAAACAAAATTGCAAATCTCAAGGTAATAAAAAGGCATTTAGATCTTATCGTATTACCATCATCAATACTCAACATATAGGAATTTTCACCCTTGGGGCAATGGTTTAAGGATTTATAAAACATATACTTCTTCTCACAGAAAAGAGGGATTTCATAATATGATCACTAGTATAAGAGATTACCCAAAACCTTATTTGAATAATTCCAATATTTAAAGATCCAACAAAAGTTGCAAAAATCCACATGGACAAAGGCCCAAATTCTTGACTTAGGTATATAAGCCTTTTTTGTAACAAAGTTTGGATAGACAAAATGCTTGGGGAAATGTTTTCGACAAGAACAGTCAAGATGCTAGGTCAGTGAAAATTTCAGAATTCAGAAAAAAACTGCCAAAATATAAATTTGTATACGGATTTAAAATGGAGTTGAAAAGAAAAGCGAAACGAGTTCCAGTTTTCTATCCTTGAGTTCCCTTAAGGGCACAAAAATAAAATAAAATGAACAAAGAAAGTCTGAAATGGAACTCTGATCTCCAGTTTTTCGCTTCGACAAAGTTTACTTCTGTCAACTGCAATAGCATCCACCAGCAAACAGAAACTATGCTAATAAACATCAAAAGTAAACCAACATGAAACAATTGACTAGAAGCTACTACAGCATATACGTAGAAAACAAAATATGAGACTGCATAGATGCTTTGGCAAGATATCACTCCCTTTAAGTGGAGAAAGAAACTTGTGTATTCGCTCACCAATCAGAGGAACAAGAACTTTTTAAAATGGGTTAGAGAAATTAGGCATCTAGTAATTTCAGTTTTTCTTAATTTTTATGATGTAGATTTCTTAGATGGCATCAAGCAGATGCAGAAATCACAAAAGAGATTATAAAGGAAAGATTAACTCAGCTCTAATACAAAAGAGATTAAGCTAGAAGCAGGGAGCTGCCAAAATCCAAAAAATGATCAGACTTATTTACAGGGGTATGCATCTAGTAATTTCAGTCATTCCATGCCCCACAACTTATGCTCAAAGAAGAGAAGGACAAATGCACAAGAACATGCTAAAGCTTCCATTTTCCTGAAGGAGTTCAAAGTCAAAGCATTCATTTAGTAGGCAGCTAGAACATACAAAAATACACAATAGTACCGCTGGAGCAATGATCAAAACACATTTGTCAGAACACTTAGCAACAATCCTAGAGTTGACGAGTAGTGACATTAATCCAAATGAGACATCTCTTATGTCGTTGAGTCGATGAATTTTGTAAAAAAGCATTAATCCACTTATTGGACTAAGAAGATAATAACTGAAAGGACAATCCAGGAAGAACTAACATAGAGCGCCATGCTTGATGGAAACTGTAAAGTTTTCAGGTTCAAATGAGACCGTCAATAATGGCATGCAAGCCAGAAGCTCACAGAATCTTTGCAGATTAGATCTTGCAAGGGCATTTGATGAAATGAGAAAGCAAACTTTCCCAGCATGAATCAGATGCATGCGTCGTAAAATGATTTGGCAAGGTCTTCCAAGTTCTTGCTGCTAGTATTACGCTTCCAAAAAATAATTAAAGAAAAGAAAAACGACAAAGAAAGTTGAGCTGAATATCAAAGAGAATACAAGAAATGAAAATCACAGCCAGTTCATGGTTCTACGGTAAATCCTCACACACATCAAGTCTTTAAGCAATCGAAAAGTGTGCCAATAACTTGAAAACAAGACATACATGGTCCTTCAGCTTATCAACATAGGAGAAATGACACTGTCACATTATCACAGAGACAGGCAGCATTCAACCAATATGTATGTATTTCAGAAATAGGGATATCACTTACTCGAGGAAATTCAGCAATTAATTTAATAGGAACCCAGCCTTCCTCATCCATTTTTAACCTCAAAAAGTTATCTTTTACCAGGTTAGCATCACTGCAACCCCAAAAACAGAAAGAAACTTTGTCAGAAAATCGTTATGAAAAACCCCCAAATATATTTATTTAAAAGAAAAACCAGAGAAGCAAAAAAGAAAAGGAAAAGGATCACATTCTTAGCTTTGAAGATTACCTGAAGTAATACTCTATCTGATTAACCAAGGAGGGAGGTAAATTTGGATCCACTAAAGGGAAAGGTTGGGGTAGTGGTGGAGCTTGGTTGATAATTGGCACACTAGTAAAGGACTCTGGACTCAATGGAACATAATAGAATTGACCCATATCTGAACCATCAAAAAAGAAAGAGTTGAGTCATATCTGAAAGGAAATAAAAACATAATCGGACACATTTAGCAAAGTATATTACTAAAAAAGGGAGAAGCGGACTTACCATATCCCATTGGCACAGGAAAGGGTCTCAGAGATGTGTGTGGAAGAAATGGACCAGAACCAGCAGGTGGGGGCCGCATGAAAGCTGCATGAGGAGGACCAAACTGAGGAGGAGCCATATGAACGTCTCTCCGATCTTGATCACGCCTGCCCCCGTGGTTATTATGATAAGATCCATCTCCACGGGGTCGTCCCCCAAAGTTACCACCCTTCCTGCCATAATTTCTATGGGGAGAATGATCACCTGCTGAATGCGGCTGAGACGGAAATCCTCCAACAGACCTTGGACCTCTTACATGAGGCTCGAGAACAGGCGGTGGAGGCGGTGGTATCAGATTCCCATAGGGAGGCATTCCAGGAAATGGTGGAGGCAATGGAGGTGGAGTTGGAGGCGGACGCGGAGTTCTAATAAATCCTCCACCACCAGGGCCACTACCAGCACCACCACTGCTGCTGCTACCTCCTCTGTGTTTCATTGATCTTTGTCTAACAGGGGTACTAGGGTTTGCATTTGAATTTGTGTTTGCATTACTATTAGCTTGTTTTTGAGGTAACTGAGAAATTATTGGACCCTATTCACAAAAACATATACACACAAAATTAATCCCCCCACTTTTAATTCATTCATATTCAACATAAATACAAATGCTGTAATATTTTAACATCCAAAAAATGAAGATAAAGCTAAAAATTGAAACTTTGAGTTAATTAAAAACCTGAGAAACAGAAGTGGATCCATCTGGAATTGGTTTTGATGAATCAGCAGATGATTTTGGGCCGGGCCGAGTAGACTCAGAGAGAGCGGGCCAAGAGAGGGCCCCACCCATAACAGTAACAGCCTCAACGACGCCATTTAAGGGTTTATTCCAAGCATGCTTTTTCGGCCGACCTACATTGCCGTCGTTACTACCAGAACTCTCCGGCAAAGCATCGGAAGTAGAGTTTTCCGGCGAAGACTTTTGGGCGGCCGAGCAATCATCCGATATAGAAATTTTCTCCGGCGAAACAACGGCAGCGGGCGACAACGGTGACGGCGAGCGAGGATTGGATACTGATGCTGCTTCAACCTCACCGCCGCCGCCACGGACTACTTGTGCCCACGGTGCTTGTAAACTCCGTCGAGACTGTGGACTGCTGACGGTGGCTCCGGTGGCGGCACCATCAGCCTTGGCGGCCGGTGAACTTGGTGAGTTATCTGCAGAAGAATCCGGCGCCGTGGCCATTCAAAACCAAAAAATAAACAAAACAAAACGAAACAAAAACAATCAACAAAATCAAAAAGAGATTAATTAAAATGTAGAAAAAAACAAGTAATAATAAGTTGTAAAATTCAAGGAGAGTGATGTGAAGAAACGAGGTTTTTAGGAAGCTCAGGTGAGAGAGAGAAAAAGGCTGTAAATTTTAGGGTTTCAGTGATCAGTATCTCTCTCTTTGTTTGTGTCCTATTCTGTTTTATTTTATTTTATTACTTATATTCTTTCCTTTTTCTTCTCTATTTGGTAGACTCAATTGTAATGCAAAATCATGAAATTACCAGAAAAGGCTTTGATGTACTTATAATTGTGCTTCTTACTCATAGAGTGACAAGTTTGTCCTCGCAATTAATTTGAGAAACCCTACTAATCACATAGGAATTTGGCAACAAATTGAGATTTTACTAATCCATTAGATAAATACGCATACGTAATGCTGAATTAATTAAGCCCTAACAAGTACACATGATTTTTGCAACAAATTGAGATTTTACTAATAGGCTAGATTAATGCATTGTTAGATTCGAGTAAGTATATGATTGATTTAGCCTTAACAAGCGCGTATAACTGTGGATACATTAAAATTTTACTAATCGATTAGATAAATACAAATACGAACCCTAAAAAGATCTCAAAAGTCTAGAATAAGAAATACGGGATTTTATTGAATTCATATAATATATAGTTAATTAAGCCCTAACAAGTACACATGACTTATGCAACAAATTGAGATTTTACTAATCGGCTAGATTAATGCATATACAAATCCTAAAAACCCTATAGGTCTATAGTAGAAATACCAGATTTCATTGGATTCGGGTAAATACATAATTGATTAAGCTTTACAAGCATACATGATAATTGTGATTGCATTAAGATTTTAATATTCGATTAGGTAAATGCATGTACGAACCCTAAAAAATCTCGAAAATCTAGAGTAAAAGTACCGGACTTTCTTGAATCGGATTTTTTATAATAAAAATAGTTAAGCTCTTGAAGTAGAAAGTGATTAAATAAGGAACAAAGTATTTTTTTGGCATTTTGTGAAAATAATGTAGTAGTATTTTTTATTGGTACTAAATATGATCTACATTATTTTTTAATGGATAACAAAAAAGAAAGGAAAAGAAAAACAATAGGGATAGTTGGGAATCCTCTGCCTTTAATTGATGGTGATTAGAAACAAAATATTTCTTAATAAGACATTGCTTTACCTTCTTAGTAAACCTACTCGATACGAATTCAAAATAGTTGGATTAATGAGTTGAAAAAAAGAAGAAGAAAAATAATTCTAATTATGGAAATAATAGTCTTTTTTCAATTTAACACTCAACTGAACTTCTTCAAATAGATTATTACCACACCAATTCCCTGGCAAAGTGAAGCATCCAAGTAAAAGAATAAATAGAAATCACCATACAACTTAATTGCATTTTCATTTTAAATGGAAGAAAGGGAAGAAATTGCTAACATACAATGAAAAAAAATGGATCATTTTCTTATGACCAAATAATCTCACCGTAACAATCTATTCAAAACAAGCTTCTTAAAAAAACAAACCAAGACAAGCTTATTAAAGCTGCAAAAAACGAAAATAGAAAATTATTCTCGTAATAACAATTTTCAACTAGTGATTCAACATAATAACTTCTTTTCACTAGTTCGTGTAAATTACTAAAAGAAGAACTTAGTAATTAAAGAAGAATCTTTATACAAATAGCCGGCAGATTTATTGTTTACTTTTTCGAACCAGTAGATATAGATTATATTATACACAATTACACATATATTATATATGAATTATATATACATAGACTATTTTTAATTTAAACGATTGAGCGAATATTTTAGTTAATTCTTCAAAAAACAAAATGTAAGCACCAAATAACTTATTGCAATTTCTGTTATATTGATTTTAATAATTAACCAAATCACACCAAAAATTCTTATTATTTTCGAAATCAAATCAATTAATTTCACATTTCTGCATATGCAATTTGTTATAATACGATCTGTAATTATAATTTCAAATCAAATCGCAATTTGTTTTCATAAGTACAATAGCTTTATATATATATATATATACTTTTTGATTACTGTATATATATATATCATATACAGTAATAACTTGTAATTACTTTTTGATTGTAAAGACTATTTTCCTTCCATTTCTTTCGATAATAATATCACTTGAATATTTATTTACCTTTTTTTGCATCCGAAAATATCTAAGAACCTAACTCTTAAAATGTTGCATATATCACAAAAAATGTAAGAATATCTCTTGCGCTTCTCTTACCTTTTTTTTTTTTTTTTTTTTTTTTTTTTTTTTTTTTTTTGTAACTATCAAACTTTCATTAATTACCAAGTTGAATATTTGCAAATCCAGCTAGACTTTATACTCAGTATGTTCATATGACGAACACATCCACACCGATAGAAACTATCCTATACACATTAACTAGAAAATCTGAAATTCAGTAAAGTCATCTTAAGATTCTCAGCAACACGAACATGACAGGTATAGGCTATTTCTTTAGCTACAACATCACTAGTTTTCGCTTTCTGCATAAAAACTCTGTTGTTTCGTTCAATCCATATTGCATATATGAACTTTGTATATACCAGCTTTAGTATTTTTGCTTGTTTTGTCTTTCCTCTTATTTTTTATTCTATCCAGCTCTACATTTGCCCCTATGTCATGATTGATGGCCAATCAGTTTGTATCCATGCCATTAGTTTACTACACACTCTTCTGCTAACTTCACATTCAGCAAATAGATGGTCTTTGCTTTCCTCTGCTTGTTTGCACATTTGACACATTGTATCTATCTGCATACCTCAGTTTTTTAGTCTCGTAGCCGTGAGTAATCTGTCTTGAAATTAAATCCATGTTATGAAGACTGCTTTTGGTCTTGCTGCATTCTCACACATTAGGTTCTTCCATGTGATTTTTGGTAGATCTCCTCTCATTTTCATGTAGATGGTCCTAATCATGCTCCTGCTCCCTGGTGACTTATGTTCCACATTACTCAATTCCTTTCTTGCCTTGAATATTTTCCTTACCATCCAACTTGCTTGCTGGGGTATGAGCATATTTGCTAACTGCTTCCCTTTTATATAGTACTCATGTATCCATTTGATCCAAAGAGTATCTTTCTTACTATGTAATTTCCAGCAGGTTTTAACTATAGCTGCTTTGTTCCAAATCTTCAAATTTGTGAGGTTAACTCCTCTAGCTGACTTTGGCACACACATTCTACTCCAGGAAACCAATAATTTTCTAGTTATTTCATTTGCTCCTGACCAAATATAACTTCTGCAGTAAGCTTCTATGGCCTTCATCACTTTGGCAGGTATTATGAACAACTGAGCCCAGTAAGATTGGACTCCAAACATAACTGACTTTACCAACTGGACTCGACCAGCATATAACAACTTCTTTGCTACCCATGAAGCCACCCATGCAGTGATCTTGGATATTTATGGTTGCCATTCTACCATCTTTAGCTTCCTTGTAGCCAGTGGGATTTCTAAATACCTAAAAGGTAATTCCCCTTGCCCATATCCCAGCAGTTGCTGAATATCATGTCTAAGAGGATCTGGTACACCACCAAAATATATAGCACTCTTTGACATGTTAGCTTGTAAACCTGAAACATCTATGAAGTTACCAAACTTTTTGTGCAATAGACCTATAGAAGTTAGATCTCCTTTGGCAAACATTCGTAGGTCATCCGCAAAACTTAAATGAGTGATATTCATTTTTGAACACTTAGGATGATATTTGAATTGCTTCTCATCTCTCAATTCACTAAGATTTCTACTTAAGTACTTCATAAATATGGCAAATAAGAAAGGTGACATTGGGTCCCCTTGCCTAAGCCCTCTTGCATCATCAAATGGTTTGGTTGGTTCTCCATTAATCACTATGGAATAATTAACAGTTGACACACATTCCATCACCCATCTAACAAACTTTGGAGGAAAGTGTAGCTCTTTCCTCCAATCTACTTCAAGAACCTCCAATCTACAGTATCATAGGCTTTTTGAATATCTACCTTGATCGTGCATCTTGGTGAGATGTATTTCCATGTGTATGCCTTTACCAATTCATGTGCCAAGATCACATTGTCTGCAACTCTTCTCCTAGGAATGAATCCAACTTGTGTTTCTGTGATGATGCTAGCAATAACCTTTTCTATTCTTCCTGCTAGGACTTTATTAGTGATTTTATAGAGGACTTTATACAACAAGCAATGGGCCTATACTCTTTGATTGTAGCAAGATTAGCTACTTTTGGAATCAAAGTTTGTAACAACCCGGCCGGTCGTTTTGAGAGTAATAGCCCCGATCTCTTATTTACTGCTTCTCTCATATCTATTCTTGCTATTGTGACTTGCCGGGAGGTTTCATTTTGGTTTTTGGAGTGTTTTGGGACACTTAGTCCCTAAATGGAGGTTTAAGCCTTAGGATTTGGACCGTAGTTGGAATAGTATGAAGACGACTCCTGAATGAAATTTTGTCAGTTCCGTTAGCTCTGTTAGGTAATTTTGGATTTAGGGGCATGTCAGGATTGTATTTTGGAGGTTTGTAGCTCATTTAGGCTTGAAATGGCTAAAATAGGAATTTAAGTTTGGAAGTTTGACCAGAGAGTTGACTTTTTGATATCGGGGTCGGAATCCAGTTCCAAAAACTTTCATAGTTCCGTTATGTCATTTATAACTTGTGTGCAAAATTTGAGATCAATCGGACTTGATTTGATAGATTTCGGCATCGAATGTAGAAGTTGTAAATTCTTAAGTTTCATTAAGCTTGAATTGGGGTGTGATTCGTGGTTTTAGCGTCGTTTTATGTGATTTGAGGTTTCAAATAAATTCGTATGATGTTTTAGGACTTGTTGGTGTATTTGGTTAAAGTCCCGAGGGCCTCGGGTGAGTTTTGGATGGTTAACGGATCAAAAGTTAGACTAAAACAATTGCTGCAAATTTTCTTCTGCTGGAAATGCAGAAAATCGAGCCCAGGGTCGAGGGCCAGGATTGAAGCCAGGGTCGAGGCTCAGGATCGAGGGCCATGATCGAGGCTCAGGATCGAGGGCCATGATCGAAGGCTCAGGATCGAGGGCCATGATCGAAGGCCAGAATCGAGGGCCAGGATTGAGGGCCATGATCGAGGGCATGATCGATGCC